AGGTTTTGAGAATCGAAACCCAAAAATACCAGTGAAAATAAGTGATTTGCTTGTGTATCTCAGTTTTAAATCTGATGCTGGCTTTTTTATCAATCCGATTGGATATTTCGATAGAGCACGAAAAATTGCATCGAACGGACACAGTGTCGCTGAAGTTCAAGAGCGTTCAGAATACTAGAAAATCTGCGAAGAGGGACACCTATGCTTATCCTATGAGAATTCTGGTCATATTTCGCTGTTATAAGCATATGAATATCTCGGATGATTTTCATTCATTCGAATAAGGATAGAGCGTCAAGATTTACATCTAAAAGACACTTTTCTAGACCTTTTCACTGCTAGTTTATGTTAGAGGAGGTCAAAACCCCGATTTGGGCCTACAATCCAGATATAATAAAAAAAAGTGATCGAGTTTTTAGCACTACATTTTCGAATCTTAAGATAGAGATATTCTTCATCAGCGTATTGGACTTGATAATACTAGTTATTTTTAATAAAAAAATTTTGAAATAAATTTTTTAAAATTCCCGTAGGGAAGTGAAGAGGTCGTAAACCCGAGAGTGATTTCAAAGGAAATGGCTATGCTCGATAGGTAGCCCATATCAATCTGGTTTCGGTTATATAATTATTTCTTGAAAATGCTTTGGGGAGAAAAGTATCTTTATCATCAGTCGTCCATTCTGGTGTGAAATACTGTTTAAAAAACTACAACCTATATATTCTTAATCAGCTTCGCAAGCTCTATCGATTGATATATAATTCAACAAAATTTCATTTCTGCTTGACTTTTGCATTAGCTGCACCTTATAAAAGCAACTGTTATCTTGTTGACATCATAGTATAAGAAAAGTTTCCCTACAGTGATTGCAATATGATTCAAAGATTAAAAAAAGCCATTTAAATGAATTTATTCTTTCATTAACAACGATCAATTTGAAGTTGGAAGTAGTTTGATTAATGATGAATCCAGCGTGATAAACAATAAAAAACAAAAATACTTGTTAAATAAAAAAATGTTTTTTTCACAAGGAACATAATTAGAGTTACTGTACTCTTTAAACCATAAAACAAAAACATTTCTAATAGAAATGGACCAAATACAATTGAAAATATAGTAAGCATAATTTTAAATTGATCTTGTTTCTGCCAATCAACAATTCGTTGTTTCATTGTTTTATATTTTCCCATATAATTCGAACATATATCACTTTCTTCTAAAATTTCACAAATAAGTATTAATAATACACACCAAAAGTAATGAATTAAAAACGAAAATAGTTTCCATAAAAGATAGAAGAGTAATTTTATTAATGGTAAAAACCAAATAAAAGCCATTTCTAATGTAAAGGGAGTCAATAAAATAAAAGCAAAAATAGCTATGCCTCTTAATGTGCTATTTTTAGCCCAATGCTCAAGTTTTTCAGCAAGTAAAGTGCATTTTTCAATATAATTTGGAAACATATCAAGATTTTTCAAAATTGCACTAATAATAATTATTAATGCCAACCAACAATAACGAATGATTATTAGAAACGATTTCATCAAAAAAAAAAGAAAGAGTTCTCTGATTGATAACGAACCAATTTTACAATGTTCGCATAAAGCAGGAAAACCTAAGACCAAAATAGAGACTATGCCAAATTTTAAGTCACTCTGTCCAGTCCAACAATCGATTTTGCGCATGAATGAATCAAATATTTCTGTATAACTTGGAATTATTTTATATTTTTTTAAAATTGCACTAATCACAATTATTAATATTAGCCAACAATAATGAATAATGAATAGAAATAATTTTACGAAAAGAAACAAAGAGATCTCTCTTATTGATATCGATCGAATTTTACAATGTTCTAATAAAGCTGGAATAATTAAGATTGGAATAATAACTATCATAAATTTCAGTTTACTTTGTCCAATCCAATTTTTAATTTTTCTCGATATTGATTCATATTTTTCTGTATAACTTGAAAATATTTGATTTTCTTTCAAAATTTCACTAATAATTATTATTAATATCGGCCAACAATAAATAATTAATAATTGACATAATTTCCATAAAAGAGAAAAAACTAATTTTATCATTGGTATAAACCATATAAAACACATTTCTAATATAAATGGACCGGTAACAATAGAAATCAGAATAACTACACTTCGAAACTTATTATCCATGCGCCAATGAATTAAACTTTCTTTTATAGTATTATATAATTTAATATATTTTGGAAAATGTTGATGTTCAATAAAAACCGATTCAGTTATCAAAATTATTAAAATTAACCAACCATAACGTATTATAAATATTAATAATTTCCATAAAATAGACAAAAATAACTTTGAAATTGGTATAGTATAAAGAAATAGTGTTTGTATAATAAGTGGAGCAATTAATATTGCAAAAAGAGTTATTCTATTTTCAAAATTATTATTTGTATGCCAATAACTTAATCGTCGTCTTATTTCTGTATATCTTGTATCAAGATTATATAAAAGGTAATTATCAATGTCTGTTTTTATTTCTTGATATTTTCTAGTAAAATTTGGAAAATATTTTTGTTTGATTATAATTCCATCAATAATAAAAATTAAAATCAACCAATTATATTGAATAATAAATAAAAATGGTGCCAATAGAGGATAAAAAATTCTTGTTGAATACAGTAAAAACACTTCTAATAATAATGGGCCACTTAAAATGAAAGAACTTATAATGCCATATCTTAAATTACTATTTCTATACCAATTTTGAACTTTTCGTTTAACGAATTGATAATATCCAGTGTAACTTAACAAGTAATTATGAGATAATAAAAATTCATGTATAACAATATAAAAAGCTATCCAATTAAATCGAATTAAAAATATAAAAATATTCAATAAAGATACTGAATATGATTGGAAATTTATTATATTCGAAGATAAATATTCTGTTTTTATTTTCAAATTAGTCGTAATAATATTTAAGTTAGAATTGAATTTATCCATGATATTATATTGCTTTTGTAACATATGAAAAATTGCGGTTAATATTATTAAACCAAATAAAAATACTAATGACCATTTAATTAGTGGACGTTGAATAAATATATTTGATGATACTGAACCTGTTGATTTTTGAACTCCTAAACATAGTGATCAAGTAGATACAAAATAGATATAAATAAAAAGGGTGTGAGTGTGGGTGTAGGTATGCATGGAGAGAAGACATCCACGCCCACACATAACTCATATATACCGACAAACCACAATGTTCTTACTTCAGATTGGACGCGATCACTAATCTTTTATAAAAAAAAATGTTCTTCTCTGTGTGAAATATCATGTAGAAATTCAAAAATAAGCTTTCCTCGTGTTTCTGAGAGGATCACAACATTTTGATAAAAGAATATCGTAGCAACGAAGTCTTTTTGTGGAAATAAACTGATACCACGAAATTTTTTTTCAGGATATTCATAGCTCATTAAGGCGTATATGATGCACACAGTCTCAACTCCAAAGCGATTTATCAGGTTGTAGATGTGGTTGAGGGCGTAGATGTAAGCGTGAGTGTGGCAATGTTGCAATCGATAATATAGTTTTCTTAGTGGTTCCGGTCTAAATCGGTCAGAGCGAATCGCATGGTAAACCACCATGGGTCATTTTTCAATTTTCTTATCCTGTAATAGCCAACTCAATCTCTCGATTAAAATGAATTATTTGAAGTTAAGTGTTTGACAGACTTTTCTAAAAATCAGTTTAAACTAGTATGCTCGCAACAAACGTTGATAGTACACTGGAGAATAGCTTTGACATGCTCATGGAGTATATTGAAGTACGAATGAAGTATGATGTTTTCGCTTTTACTTTTGAGTTCTCTACAATAGTAAAAATAGCTCTATCGTTTTCAATATTTTAATTGAGTAGAAATTACGATGAAAGTTTTTCTTCACAATCTATTTTCATAATTTTTTTTTCTATTTTGGCATCGATCGATGATCATAAATTTTCTTAAACTACAAATTCCATATTAGCTTTATACATTAATGAAATGTTCCTCAGACATTGAAATTCGGAATCAACAGTAGGTGTAGGCTGTGTCTTACAATAAATTGATTTTGTCATTTCTCTCTTCTCTGCAAAACTTCATAAAATATATTAGGCGTACTTTGATGAATATTTGCTTATTAAAAATATCGATATTCTAATGCATATTCACTGATTAAAAGAGTCACTGACAGCAGTAAATGTGGCTTTTTATGTGAAAAAGCATACCTCTATGATCAATTTTTTGAGGAAAAACATTGAAAAACTCGAATGAATCCATACTGACTGGCACAAAAAAGTTTTATCTATCGGACAGTAAGGAACCTTTCATCGAGTCGGATCGATCATTTACCGTTACCGGTTGCAAAACTGAGATATGAATGAGGGCCTAGAAAAGACAAGTCACAATTGTACCCCAAACTATAGATCTAAATTCCCTAATCTTCAGAAATGTTTGACGTACTCAAACAACAATTTCTTATGAGCTTTAGTAGAATAATTCACTTACTGGCGGGTGAAACAAATAGAACAAGAGATTCATTGTTATCTTTCGCTTGACCAGCAGATCCGACCATAAAATCTTCATTTTCCAACCTAAAAACAACATACGTAAGATACTGATTGCAGATGAACCGGCAATATTCTCACGTTGAATCTAATGCGTGAACTGATCGTATCATTTGACGTCTTAGTTCTTTGAATGATGGTCTCTCGTCTGGTTCCATGTTCCAGCATTTCAAAATAGCCGACCAAAGATCATCGTCGCAAACTGCTGGCTTCGGCAGTTGATCACCACGAAGTTTGCGTCGTTTCACTTCACTATCATCCGTTATAGATGAGAATGGAAGTGTTCCATACGAACAAGCTTCCCACATCAAGACACCCATCGAATAAACATCAGATTTCTCTGAATAACTAGTTCGCTCACCGCCTGTTCGGAGAACTTCAGGTCCACAATAACGTACAGGAATGATAGTCATCGTTGTTTGAGATGTACTGGCGGCCACGGAAAATAGGTCACTTGCTTTAGTAAGACCAAAATCGGTCAATTTTACCAGATTCTTTTCTGGATCATTTGCATCGAAACGAAAAACGAGCACATTTCTGCAGGCCAAATCACCGTGAATAATTCCATTGTCAGCCAAACAAATCATGGCATCTATGATTTGAGTGAATATTTCCATAAGAACGCGTCTGTTCGGCTTAAAATCATTTTCTCTCAAAAGTTCGCCAAGGTCACCCTTTTCTGCATATTCTTGCACGAGCATGACGCAATGTGGATCGCTTTTAACGAAACCATAAGTACGCACGATGTATGGATGATAACTAAGTTTGACATAGAATGACGCTTCCCGACTTGCTTTAGCACCTTCGATTTTCATTAGAACGATTGGTGGACCTTGTTTTTGAACCCATGCAGCCTTATAAATTGACTTGCCGAACGCCTGAAACCAGGGACGTGTTTCAGTCCTGCGTACATCGACATCGAGAATGAACTGATAGTCTTTTTTCTGCGATATCACAGCAAATTCTTCAACCATCTTACGAACACTATGATTTGGGCGGAGTGAGTCAATGGCCATCGGTTCCCTTGTTATAGGACTTGTACCATGTTGTTGTAGCCATAAAATTATGCTTTCTCGTTCATATGTGTGTCCATCGGATCCCATGACTGGATCACGAAAGAGAACGCACGTGATTGGACAGTTAAGAGAATCCATGTTGAAAAGAGTAATTTGTATTACCCCGTGATAGTGTGACGAATGGCGTGCAACGGAGTAGAAGCACTAAATTTCTAAAAAGAGAACATGATTTAATCAAGGAAAATTTTCCCAAAAAAATTGCTCCTATCAAATCCTCTTATGACTCAACCACTTTTACCCTTTTCTAGGGTTTATGAAGAAAGGATCTTCGAAGAATTGTGAAATTTTCACGGCAAATAGGTCTTGAGTAGCAGAGCAAAAGTTGTGCTTGACTAAAAAATATCTAATCCGTGTCGCTGAGCATAAGCGTGAGTGTGGTTATGGGTGTGGATTACAGATTGAAGAGAGGGTTCACATTCACACTCCCATTCACAATCCCATTGACATGCTATTGGTTCATCAAGTAATAAGATAGGGTGTGGATCGGATTTAGGTGTCGCTTTACGCATGAACGTGGGGTGTTAGTAAGAACATGTGTAGGAGGGTGTAGTTCTAGGTGTTGAACCTGTCTTCGTCCATACGCGCACATCCACACCCTCTTCCGGCGACTTTCTCTACATTAAGAAAGTTTTTGATGTAATTCCAAGATATTGATCGATATCCAACAGATCTGTACCAACATAATAAGACATGACTAGCTGTTGAAGTTTTTTGCTGGCACTTTCATGTATGATACGGTTCGCCAGCCTTTTGCCTGTCTCTCACAATTTTCTCCCTGATTAGAAAGTTTTTGCTACACTCCAAAGCTATTCGAGGACCATGATGAAAATTTTCGCAGCTAACCTGGCACATTGATCCGTTCGCTCAATCTCTTTGCTGGTTGTCTCAAGCATTTCACTATGATATAAGAGTTACAGTGCGCGGCGAAAAAAGCATGTACATTTTTGTTTTTACTCATGAACGAATAATAAGGGTACTCTGAAAATTTTCCCTCATATTAGACTTTGTAGAACTTTTTTCGCTGATCATTTTGGTAAAAAAACTTTTCGATTTTCATTGAGTAATGATGATGTTATAGTCAAAATACTAAACACTGTCATATAAAGTAGGGAAAAAAGGTTTAGCATACTTCTAGTATTCGATTAATTTTTACGTCATTTCACAACATCTGGAAGATGTTCTATATACCATTCGACGCAGAATTTAATGGACTACATTTTGGTAATAAGCAATTACACTGTTATTGAAGTTAATTAATTATTAGTTAATGCTAATTAGGGAATAATTAATAAAAATTTTATCTGTTTTTAAACTCTTAATCCTTCATATAAAAGAGCATTAAAAACTGAACAAAACTCTATAATTCGTATTTGGCAAGCAACGACTTTAATGAGGTTTTAGTGTGATTTTAGGAATATGGTCAGTTGTAATTAGATATAGCATTCATTATTTTTAATAAATTCAACCATGAAACGACATATGAAATACGCGCAAACTGTTGCATTTGAAAGAGCATCATTTGTTCTTTCGAATGACATGTCGCTGCTTTATGTGCAATATTCTATACAAATGCTACAACGTCTTTAGTTGTAAAAAAACTAATTCAAGCCATACTTTCCAGCCATTTTTCTGTTATTTTGCATTGTATATTTCG